TATTTTGATACTCTGTCTTTATTCACCAGTTTTCAAATAATGAACTGGCTTGGAAGTATCTGTCAATGATGATCAGTTAATTTAATTTTATTATTATTACAGACTCATGGCTTTAAACGTTGTGGGTGTTGCAACCTATTACATTTATCTCTCACGACTATCCCATCTTTCGCCAGTAGGGGGCCTCTTCAAATTGGCTCCTGGCCCTGTGACACTATGACCCTAGTGGTCTTTGCTTCCTTACTATTTGGTGTGAGGAGATATCTAGGCTCACCTTGTACATTTCCTGCCCCAGACCTAGAATTAGTCGTTACTCCAAGAAACCTTGGCTCCTTTCAGTGGGAAATGGTTAATGATTTATTTTAAAATATCAATAGCCAAAAATCACCAGACATTTGAGGAAAGCCTCTACAGTGAAAGGGAAAGATCAAAACAAACAAGCAAACAGAATGAAGGAAGCTGTAAGAAACAGGGACAATGCAAGACATACAAGAAAACACTTTGTAAATTAATTTTAAAAACTAATTAGAATCTTCTGAGATATAAGAATATATTTTGTTTATAAAACATTAAATTAAAAATGAAAATTTAAAAAGTGATTGGGGAAATAAAAATTGAATGGAAGGATTAGAAGATAAAGTTGAAGAAATATCTCTCAGAAATTAGAACGACAAAAAAAAGAAATGAAAAACAGAGAAAAAATGAGAAATAACAGAAAACTAGAGGATCAATGCACAAGGGCCAACAGTGGATTGGATTAATAAGAGTTACAAAAAAGAGAACAGAGAAAAAAATGAGGAAGAAATTATGGATGAAATAACATAAGAAAATTTGCCAAAATAGAGGATGAGTCTTCACATTGAAAGGGCTGACTGAGTTCCCAAAAGAGACCCTGCACTAAGGCACATCACTGTGAATTTCAGGATACTGTTATCAAAGGTGATTCTAAAAGCTTTTAGCTTTTTTTTCTAAAGAGAAAAAGGAAAAGAAAACGATCACTACAAAAGATTGGGAATAAGAATTACACCAGACTTCTCAGTAGCAACACTGGAATCTAGAAGACAATGGAGGAATAAATGCCTTTACAATTCTGAGTGAAAATTATTTTCAACTTAGAATTCTATATCAAAATGATCAATGAAGTATGAAGATAGAATGAATCAGACATGCAAGAATTTTAAAAAATTGATCTACCATGTTCCTTTTCATAGGAAGATACTGGAGATGTGTTCTACCAAAATAAGCAAGTAACTCAAGAAAGGGGAAACACAGGATTCAGCAAACAGGAGAGGAGTGGAGGTAAGTCCCAGGTTAACAGCCAAACAGGAGACCTCAAGAGCAACCAGGTCACACTGGGGCAGGAGGCTGGAGGCTGGCAGGAGGAAGAGAATGGGAATTAATAGGTTATCTGAACCATTTGTGTGTACAGTTAGCAGATGATATTGAGAGGGACTGTTGGGCATTAGGGAAAAATCAGTGATAGGTACGTTGTAAAACAAGCCAATGAAGAAAATCAAGACAATTATTCAGTCCAGGAAAAACAAAAAGTTGGTCAAGAAAGGATACCTCATCAGAATAGGTATATTTCATTGATTCTCAGAGGCATATGTTTTCACATTTTACTGAGTCTGAAGTCAGGCCATGTCTTTCTGTCAAAGGCATCTTACAGTCACCATTGGCCAGACCACAGTCCTGATGGAGTTGTCTCTACCTGTGAAGGTGTGAACTTGGTCATTATTCCTGGTGTTCTCACCCAGCAACAGCCACCCATTGATATCTCAGCCCACAAACCATTTTAGAATCATATGAGGAGGAACTAGGAGTCCTGGTTGGTCAGAAAACCTTCTGTGGACACCTGCTGGTAAGATCAAGAAGGTGCCAGCATCCAACCTGCAGAATGGGGGCCATGACTTGGAAGAAAATTCTGGAAACCAGAGAGGAATACTCTTGAAGAATTGCTGCATCACTGGCCTCCTGGGTGGTTCAAAAAACGATAGTCTAAAACAAGCAAACAAACAAAACAACAGAAAATGAGCACTGATGACAATAGAAAAGTGATTCAGAAGAGATGAACTCTGAATTCAGAGAAGGTTTAAGAATATTTAATTAATTTTGCTTACATTTTTCTTTTTTGTGTGCACAAGATTAATATCTGATTAAATATATATCTAAATAAGAGCACTTCCAATAAACTTACTTTAAAAATATAAGTAATAAAGGAGTTCGGCAGTATGTTTTCTTTCTTCATGGTTCCTATTACGATAGATGGTGTCTTACATTCAGTGAACTCTGGGGTTCTAGTTGGTAGCAGTGAACAATTTTCACACATTCACAATAAAGTAAATACTGGTGTTGATTTTAAAGTATTAAATAATTATATTAAAATATTAAATAATTAATATTACATAATTATAATGGGAGGACAGGGAGAGGGGAAATGTATGTGTGCTTTGGGGTGGGGAGAAATGGGGATGGGTAAGTGGAAAAAAATCTTCACCTCCGTAACAGGAAGTCAGAAGATGAAGTCTGAGATTGACACATATATATTTTTTTATTTTGCGGTACGCGGGCCTCTCACTGTTGTGGCCTCTCCCGTTGCGGAGCACAGGCTCCGGACGCGCAGGCTCAGCGGCCATGGCCCACAGGCCCAGCCGCTCCGCGGCATGTGGGATCTTCCCGGACCGGGGCACGAACCCGTGTCACCTGCTTCGGCAGGCGGACTCTCAACCACTGCGCCACCAGGGAAGCCCATGACACATATTTTTGAGAAATTGGATTTTTAAAAAAACACATACAGAAAAATAGCTAAAGGAGTCTCAAGTAGTTTCCTTGGGAAATGGGGCTGGGGTGTGGGAGGAGTCGGTTGCTGGGGGCTTCTTAAATTACTTTTTCATACTATTTAACTTTTTCAACTCTGCGCATCATTATTTTGATAAAAATATTTTTTAAAATAAAAATAAATAAAATGACTCAAGCCTGTTCTGTGCTGTTGTCATTATAAATATACATATTCTTTTCAGGCCATATGTTCTAACTTTTGGTTTGAGAAATCTACTCACTGTGAGAGGCTGCAGGATGTAACAGAGAGAGCTTAGCTCTAGTGTCAGCTGTCTGCGTTTGCATCTTGGGTTTGTTGCTTACTAGCTTTGTGACCTTGGGAAAATTGCTCAACTTCTCTGAGCTTCATTTTCCTCACCTGTAAAATGAAGAGAGAGGTGTGTCAAGTGCCTGTCCTGGTGCTCAGCTCCATGTGACTTTGTCTACACCTTTTGATTGTACACAGCTGTCCCCCATGAGCCCCAACCCTCACAATGGGTTTCCCACCCCCTTAGAAATAAGGCTGACCCCTTTAAAGTGCCCCAGTGCTCAGGGACCCCAAGGCCCCTTTGTCCACACAGTCCCCCTGCAGCCACCCACTGTCCAGAGCTTTAGGCCTGGACATCGGCAGTATATGTGGGTCATTGCCCTTTTCTGCCCCCAGAGGCCCTGAGTTTGCTTGTTCATATCCCTCTTTCTTCTCACATCAGGCTCAGTCTTGGAGCTGATGTGGTGTTGAGTATGACAATGGCTCCATTGTTCCTGGCCAGAAGCCCATGGCTCTGTGGCCAGATGTCAGGGGTCATTTGCCCTTCTCCAAGGTCTGGGAGCAGAGACCTGAGCTCCAGGCCTGGCATGGCAGGAAGAGCCCAGCCTGGTCATCGATCTGATGGAGGCATGACCAAACTCACCACCCAGCTCCCAAATCCAGGGTCTGCAGAAGTCAGCCCTCCCACTGCCCCACCAGGCAGGCGCCCTGGGGCTGTGGGTGAGCTGCAGCCTGGACTGCAGAGAGCAGCCCAGCCGCTACGGCTCCCAGCACCTCTTCCCCTCCCACATCCTGGGTCCTGGAGCTCGGCAGGCAGTGACTGCATGCCTAGAAGGAGCTTTGTTAGAAATTAAAAGCAGGTGGGTTGTTTTTCTTTCTTTTTCTTTTTCTTTTTCTTTTTGTTTGCCCATTTGGATAGAGGAGCTGCTTGCTCAGGGCTCCCTCTCTCAGGACAGGTGGGCAGTTCATGTTTGTACATGTGACCCAGAAGTATATAGTGAGCCACACTCCAGGGCTGACACTGCCTGGACATGAAGGGTAGCACTTCTCCCTCCAGCTGCTCTTCGGTGACTGGGAGGGCTCTCAGAGAGTACAGGCAGAACAGATGAAGGGGAACAGCGTTTTCTGGTGGGGACAGCCCTCTCCTAAAGCCCTGGGCACTGGAGAACATGCAATGTCCTTTGAGTCCCTGAGTGGAAGCTGTGTCCCCAAAACATGACCCCACGATAGAGCATGAGTGATACTACAGGGAAACAAGGAAGCAGCCTGTACAGAGGTGGGGCGAGGGTAGCAAGTAAGAAAGGGGAAGTCCTAGGTCCTTGAGACAGTGGGATGAAGAGGAAAAAAACACGTAGCCTTTGAACCAGGGATGTGGGTTCCAATCTCTGCTCTACCACATACCAGCGGCAAGTCATGCAGAACTTTGCAGCGTTGTAGTGGGCAGGTGAAATCGATCTCCTGTATCTAAGATTGGCCGATCTAACCTTTCCTCCCTCCCTGCCTCCCATTCATTCGAGGGACATCTGGCACATACTGGAGGCACAATTCCGATCTCCCACTCAGGGCCTGGGGTGGGAATGAAGGTCCTTGGCCACTCAAAGTTCCTTGGCTAACCTGGGGAAGGAAGGGGTGGGGAGGTCCCAGGCCAGAGCCGCGTGGGGACGATGTGGGCTAAGGCGGTTTTTATTCCAGGCTTCCCCGACCCGAGCAGGTGTAGAGGGTTTTGGGCTGAGGGGTTGTCTAGGGGTAAGGAGTCTGGCAGCCCTGCCGGGTCCACGTGGATGTTGTGAGAGGAACCTTACCCTGCAGGCCGTGGCTGGCCCTTTCCCAGCTCTCTGTCCTCTCTAGCCACGGCTGCTGCCTGCTCTGGCTGTGAGGGGCACAGCCGTGTGATGTCTGTGTGCTCCTCCCACAGGCCACAGAGTGGGCCTCCAACGAGGACACGCGCCGCTCCTGCCAAAGCAAAGGGAAGACCGAGGTACGTGGCCTTGGCAGCCAGGGGCCTGGCTTAGAGCCGGCGGGAGGCTTGTGGTTCTAGGGGTGGAGGGGCACCGTGTGGGCACGAGGCCACCTGCATGAGAGGCCCAGCCTGGAGGAGCCAGGGGCTCCTGGTGCAGGCGAGGATGCAGCCTGAGCATCTGAGTGGGTGGTGAGGCAGGGAGCCGGCCTGGGAGGGAGGTGGGGGGAGGGGAGACATGCACAGATGCAACCTCAGCTTCAGAGTGCGGTGGATCTGGAGCAGAGTGCTTTCGAATATTTGCGGTGCAGTGGCGTGCCGGAAAGACACCCAGCTCTGCAGCTGGAGAGCTCGTCCCTCTATTACTTCCCCTTTGTTGCTTCAGGAGGAGTGTCAGAATTACGTGCGAGTCCTGATTGTCACTGGCCGGAAAGTGTTCATGTGTGGGACAAATGCCTTTTCGCCAGTGTGCTCCAGCAGACAGGTGAGGGCTGTGCGGCGTCCGGCAGACAGAGGGGGACACCAAGAGGTTCCCTCACTCAGGCACACAGCCTGGGAATGGGGCTGTCAGTTCAACACAAAAACCAAAACGAAAAGGATGCCCAGTTAGATTTGAATTTCAGGTAAAAAACAAACAGTATGTTAGTATCAGTATGTCCCAGGCAAGATTGGGGGCATCCTTACACTAAAAAACTATTCGTTGTTCATCACAATTCAACCTCACCTTAGAGATGAGGCAGTTATGGCAATTGCCCTGACTCTTGACACACCTTCCCCTCCATGACGGCTGCTCCCTCAGAGGGACTGTGGGGTGGGCAGTGAGGAGGAGGGGGAGGGAAGCAGAGGCCTAGAGAGACCAGGGACCCAGGAGGAAACAAAACTCTGGGGGGGAAAGAACAGGCAGCCCCAGGATCTCGGGGAAAAGTGCCCCATCTCCCCATTATCCCCAGGTGGGGAACCTCAGCCGGACAGTGGAGAAGATCAATGGTGTGGCCCGCTGCCCCTACGACCCGCGCCACAACTCCACAGCCGTCATCTCCTCCCAGGGGGAGCTCTACGCAGCCACGGTCATCGACTTCTCAGGTCGGGACCCTGCCATCTACCGCAGCCTGGGCAGCAGACCACCGCTTCGTACTGCCCAGTATAACTCCAAGTGGCTCAATGGTAAGGAGATCCAGCCCCGGGGGGCTCCCCTGGTCCTAAGCCAGCCAGCCCACCCTGACCCCCATCAGTTTCCTTCCTGCCCAACCAGAGTGGGGCAGATGGTCGCCCAAGGACCACAGCATGTTGGAGAGGGACTGTGGATGAAATCACAGATGTCCTGAGGACCCAGAGCAGACAGAGGGCAGGCTACGAAGGGAGAGAAAGAGTTAGGAATTGATGAGGAGGAAAGGTTATGGGAAAGAAGAGATCGGAGGAGGGTGATTTGAGTTTCTTGCCCCTTGGAGTTGAATCCCTGCTTCTCCACTAACGAGCTGTGTGGCCTTGAGCAAGTACTTGACCTCTCTGTGCCACAATGGTCTCATCTGTAATATGGGGACGATCATAGTATATACCTCATAGCTTGTTAAGAGGACCAAACGGGTTAATGCATATAAAGTACTTATAACAGTGTCTGGTACACAGTGAGTGCTCAGTCATCCAAGTTAACTATTATTATAACTGCACTTTGCGTTGGAGGTGGGAACAGGGTTAGAGCCCCCAGGTCACCAAGCTGGTGGGGGGTTGTCAGGATGCCCATCTGAGGAAATGGAAGTAGTCGAGTACTCCCAACTCTGCCCCTTCCTCCCTCCTGGCCTGACCCACCCCTTGTTCCTCTTCTGCCCCCAGAGCCAAACTTTGTAGCAGCCTATGATATCGGGCTGTTCGCGTACTTCTTGCTGCGGGAGAACGCGGTGGAGCATGACTGTGGACGCACCGTGTACTCTCGGGTGGCCCGCGTGTGCAAGAATGACATGGGGGGCCGGTTCCTGCTGGAGGACACTTGGACCACGTTCATGAAGGCCCGGCTCAACTGCTCCCGCCCGGGTGAGGTCCCCTTCTACTACAACGAGCTGCAGAGTGCCTTCCACCTGCCGGAGCAGGACCTCATCTACGGGGTCTTCACCACTAATGTGTGAGTCCCTGTCCTCCCCCCACCCCGGATGTCAGGAATGCGCTCTGAACTGCTTCGAAGCCTGATGGCTTTGGGCAGGTCCCTTTCTGAGCCCTTGTTTCTCTTTCTGTAAAATGGGGATTGCTGTGCCTTCTGCACGGGGTCCTCTGAGGATTTTGTGACTCGCTGCCTCCTGAGAGGTGAGCCCTTGTTCTGGGTTGCTGTGACGGGCAGGCCTAGGCCAGATATGAAGACAGTAAAAGGGGCTAGATTGTGGCTCCGGGAAGGAAGAACTTGCTGGTGATGAAAGGGAAATAGGCTGCCTTCAGTGAGGGGATGGCAGCCTCAGGAGGGTCCAGCAGCTTCCCGTCGGGGAGGCTCAGAGGGGACTCTTCACCCTTCCAACCTCAGGACTCCATGATCCTGCTAAATCGATCAGAGTCTTCTGGCAATCCCGACTGCCCTGGAAAACCCAGGCTGGGAATTAGAACCCCTTTTGTTTCCTAAGTGTGAGGAAGGGTAACCCTCATGGAGATCATGAGACCCTCCTTCCACAGCCTCTTCTGTTTAAAGGCTGACCCATTCAGGTGATTTTTTTTATAGAGAATGCTGAATGGGCGGCAGAGACCAAGAAACACATTTGTTGTACAGGATGCTGTGCTGGGTTCTTTGTAAGGACAGAAACATATGAAGCATAGAGTGGAGTTTGCTTACCTAGGGCCCCAGATAGCAGGCACTGGATGAGGGCCAGGTTAGCTACAGGAAGGATAGTCTAAGGGGGTGGACAGGGAGGAGAGTAAAGCGGGGAAGCTGGAGCAGAGAAGCCATCCAAGCCAGGGGACAGACATGCAGCACAGCCCACACAGGCCATGAGCTGACAGCGGGGACTTAGTGACCAGCCCGCTGTCAGCAGCAGAAGGTGGGCGGCCGTGAGCACAGGGCAGGAGTCACTGCAGACGCATCAAGGGAAAATAGCATTAGTGTAGACTGCAAATTGTTTATATATTGTGCACCTTCACCGTGCCCCAGGTTCTTGTCATGGTGGAAGTCAGGGGAATGGGGGACACACCAGTGGGCAAGAGCAGCCCTGACTCTGCCCATAAGGACCTTACATTCTCGAGAAGGGCCAGTTTTAACTGTAATAAATCCTACAGAGGGAAAGGGCAGTGTGCAGAGAAGCTGTGATCAGTGTGGAGGGTCGATGATCAGGGAAGGCTTCCTGTAGAAAGTGACATCTACAGGATGACTGGGAATTATCCTGTAGCTAGGGGAGAGGAGCGTTGCAGCCCGAGGGAACAACATGTGCAAAGCTTGGGGTGGGAAAAAATGTTTGAGGAACTGAGAGGAGACCCGTGTGGCAGGAACCTGGCAGGTGAAGACGGGAGAGTCAGCCGAGGGGTGGGCATGGGAGGATTATGCCTGGAAGGGCCTTGTAGACTGCTTTAAGGGTTTTGATCTTTATCCTAAGAGTAAGGAGATGTTATTGGAGGGTTTGAAGGAGGACAGGGACTAGCTCAGATGTGCATTTTGTAACACTCACTCCGGCTGCTGTGTGGATAATGGATCAGAGGAGACCGGACGGGCTGCAGGGACAGTGCAGCATCCTGGAGGAGACAGTGGGGACTGCGACCAGGCAGAGGGGAGCGAAATGCACACATTTGGGAGAGGGACTGAGTGCAGAGAACAGCCCTGGAAACACTTGGTGTAGTGGTATCCTCTCTCCGAACTGCCCACATCAGACTCATAGAAACGTCTGAATCCATGACTGAAAGGGATCTGAGAGGTCATCTGGCTGCGGGTGGTGGGCTGCAGCATAGATTACTGGTTTGGCAACGAAGTTGTTGTTGGGTTTTCTTTCTTTTTTTTTTTTTTTTTGCGGTACGCGGGCCTCTCACTGTTGTGGCCCCTCCCGTTGCGGAGCACAGGCTCCGGATGCGCAGCCTCAGCGGCCATGGCTCACGGGCCCAGCCACTCCGTGGCATGTGGGATCCTCCCGGACCAGGGCACAAGCCCGTGTCCCCTGCATCGGCAGGCGGACTCTCAACCACTGCGCCACCAGGGAAGCCCTCTTTTTTTTAAATAAAATAAATAAAGCAGAATCGATCGGAATAAAAATATCAGAGTATAATGTATTTAGTAAGGGTACATATTGCTTCATGAAAATTCATTGCAAATATGTATGTATGTGTCCTACTGAGCTGTAATATAAAATATATTTCTTACAGTGGGCCAGGGACTAAAATGTTTGAAAACCATTGACTTTATTTGACCCTCCCACTGAATAAACGAAGGGGATGAGGAGGTAGCACAGAAGGATCTACCAGTGCTTCTCATCAGTGGGTCTTTCTTTACCGGAGGCTTTCCACGGTGTGAAAACCATGTTCCTCCTTCTGTGATACCCCTGTGGTGCGGAAGGAACCAGAGTCATCATAGGTGCCTAGTAAGCCTTGGAGCTGTGCCATGCTGTGATTTGACAGCTGGCCATGGGATTTAAGGGGAAGGTGCCGAGGCCTCCAGGGAAGGCAGCATGCCTCCATCTCTTGCCTTTCAGAAACAGCATTGCCGCATCTGCTGTCTGCGCCTTCAACCTCAGTGCCATCTCTCAGGCTTTCAATGGCCCGTTTCGCTACCAGGAGAACCCCAGGGCTGCCTGGCTCCCCATCACCAACCCCATCCCCAATTTCCAGGTACAGCTTCTCCTCCCCTTTCCCTCTCCTCACATACCACCCTCCCCCAGACTACCAACCGCAAGCTGATTCCCAACTACTTAGTGCAACCACCAAATGTGTCCCTGCTGATCTATGCCCATCTGTGGGGTCTGCGATGGTTCCCTAAGAGGGTGGTAACCTCAAGACTGTGGAGCAAGGAAGGGAGAGTGGGTGGGATGCAGAACAAGGGAGCCTGCTCTGAGCCATCTCTAAATATGACCCCTCACCTCCAGAGAGGCAGGGAGGGTGGACCTCAGCTCTACTCAGTGTAGGGAATCAGGAGAGCAATCACAAGCTATCTGGCCAGAATTCAGGGATTTTTAGCTGGAGTTTGCTTGCAGTCTACCCAGTATGGGTACTAATGCCTGGAGGATCTCTGAGTGCCAGGAGTGGTCAGAGCCCAGCCATGGGTGGTGTGAGCATCCCCAGTGTGGAGAAGGGGAAGTAGCCATGGGACAGAGAAAACTGCAGATGGTTGATTTGCATATCCATCCAACTTCCTGACCAGGAGGCAGAATGGAGCAGGGTAAGACCTCAGGCTTTTCAGTAGTACAATCCTGACCCAGATCTAGCCCTCTCTGTGTCACCTTGGGCAAGTCACTCAACCTCCTTGAGCCTCTTTACCCTTATCTGGCACATGGGGATAATACCATCGACCTCATAGATACGTTGGAGGGTTGATATGCACCTGAGGTGGTCTGTAGAATGTAGTAGGTGCTCAATAAATGGTAGTTGCCTTCCAGCTTTGGTTTAGAAGGCATAAGAACCTTGAGCTGATAGGGACATGGGAGAAGGAAGGCAGGGCTTGGCCCAACATGGGGGAGGGGCACCTACAGCGACAGCATGAAATAACAGGACACTTGTTATCCACACTCATATGATCCGTTTCTAGATAATCCAGCCCCCCTTTCATCTTCCTTGTCCTCTTCTCCATCCCTGGTAGGTCCCTCATCCTGTCTTCCCAGCCTCATTTTCCCTTAGTTCCCAAAGATGAGACATCTTCCTGGAAGAGGGTGCAGGGCACTTAGCGGGGGATTTTGTGGGGCAGGGAGAAGGGATTGGAGAATCAGAGTCTGGGTTGCGAGGAAGGAGGGATACGGGACCGCGGCAGCCCGGCGGCTGGTCACGCGTGACCCGGTTCCCTGCCGCAGTGCGGCACCCTGCCCGAGGTGGGCCCCAACGAGAACCTGACAGAGCGAAGCCTGCAGGACGCACAGCGCCTGTTCCTGATGAGCGAGGCCGTGCAGCCGGTGACACCCGAGCCCTGTGTCACCCAGGACAGCGTGCGCTTCTCACACCTCGTGGTGGACCTTGTGCAGGCCAAGGATACGCTCTACCACGTGCTCTACATCGGCACGGGTGAGGCCGCCCCGCCCCGCCCCGCCCCGCCGGCGCTCGGGGTGGGAGGGGGTTGAGCGGCAGGGTCTGGGCCGCGAGGTTCCGGGGCCTTTAAGGCCACCCTGATCTGGCCCCTCCAGAGTCCGGCACCATCCTGAAGGCGCTGTCCACGACGAGCCGCAGCCTCCGCGGCTGCTACCTGGAGGAGCTGCACGTGTTGCCCCCCGGGCGCCGGGAGCCGCTGCGCAGCCTGCGCATCCTGCACAGCGCCCGCGCACTCTTCGTGGGCTTGAGTGACGGCGTGCTGCGGGTGCCGCTGGAGAGGTGTGCCGCCTACCGCAGCCAGGGGTAAGCGGGCGCCGCGGGAAGGCGAGCGGGCGCCGCGGGAAGGCGCCGCCGGGAAGGCGGCCGGGCGGGTGCGCCTCCAGACGCAGATGCCTGCCGATCGCACTGGGAGCTGGCGCTTAAGAGGTGGAGCTTTGGAGTCAGGTCGTCCTGGGATGGCGTTCCTGGTGCAATCTCCAGTTGTGTGCCTTTGGACAAGTCATTTAACCTCTCTGAACCTTGGTTTCCTCCTCATAAAATCTCTGCAGGGTTTTTGTGAAGGATAAGTGGGATAATCTGCCGAAACCACTTAGCACTCACCTGGGGAATATATGTGTTGAGCAAGCGGTGGTGGCTGTCGTTATCCCTGTTGTCAAGCCCACAGTTAGGGCCTGGTGGCCATCTCTAGACCACGTGATTTACTCTCAGTCCCTTCAGTTCAGAGAGTGGTCTTTATCTTTGAAATCACAGCACTTGCTATGCAGATGTGAGGGCAGATAGGAGATGATACTTTGAGTCAGCTCCAAGTTTGCTTCTGTAACTTCCCCACTTAGAAGAGGCAGAAAGGCCTGGCATGGGTGGGTTGGAGGTGAGGAAACATGTGGAGATGGGACGTTGTCTTCCCAACAGCTTCTGCAATCAGTTCGCCATACCTTAGCTTCAGGTGGATTCACAAATTTGGCAATAATGACATTGACGTTTAAGGGGGAAACAAAAGCCTATTCCAAAGCCAAATGCACATGTATCTCAGACTCCTAAGCATGTGAGGCTACCCTGAGCTGCACCCGTTCACTTTGGAGATAATTCAGAAATGGCCTTTAGCTGGCATAGCCACAGCCATGTGGGCTTCTGTGGCCTTTGCAACACAGGGACCTCCTGGCTGTGCCCATCTGTCCTCAAGATTTGGGAGACAAATGGCGTCCAGGCTGCCAAGGGTTGTTTTCCAGCCCCGGCGGAGTGTGCTGGGATCTGATCAGAGGCCTGGAGGGCCAGGGAGGAGGCTAGAAAGTCATGGTGTGACAGCGGGGAGTGGGGGGGAGGCGAGCGTAGTGGGCAGATACCCAAGCTTCCCTCAGCCCCAGCACAGGGCTCCATCAGCAAAGCACCGAACGTTTGCGAAGCCCTCCCACGCTCAGAGCACTTCACGGGGCTGTCGGTGTGAGAAGAGGGAGGCAAGATGAAATAGGTCTGGAACACTCTCACTTCCCTCAGGGCTCTAGATGTCTGGCTGGGGAGAGAGACCTTGGCCTGAATCTGACATGTGGGGAGAGAATGGGGTATAATGGGAGGGACTTGCGTGGTGGAATTGGATGTACCTGGGACCCCATCTCAGCTTCGTCATCTGCCAGCTATATGATATTGAGCAAGTTACTTACTTAACCTTTTGAGCTGTGGCTTTCTCCTGGGGAAAATAGGGGGAAATGTGACGAAGCAGATGGTATTTACTTTTGGCAGACGAGCTGTAAGGATCGGGAATAATGCTCACGAAGTGCCTAGTCCAGCGAGTCATCATTGGTAGCTAGTGTCCTTATTCCTTTTTTATCTCCGCCAATGCATTTAGGGGCCCTCCAGTCTCCTGGGCTCTCCGGAGTCTCAGGATTTGTGACGCTGAATACAGACAGCACTGCTTGGCAATGAAGCATGGCATTTCTCTCTTATGTGCTTCTTTAACTGCTGTGTCGTTATTAAACTTTTCACATGTACCGTGTTCTTTAAGAGGTTGTAAATCCTTGAAGGCAAGTCCAATGTCCCAGTATTTTTTATACTCCACCAGGGGGCCATGCCCAGCCCCAGCCACAAAGTGGCCTGCTACACATGACTGATCCTGCAGTTGATTGATTGCTTGGCCTGAGAGCAGGCTGGTGCAGGAGAGGAGTGGGGAATGGGACTGGAAAGTGGATTGAGGCCAGCTGAGAATGCCAAGGGAGGATTTTGACTTGAATCCTGTGACTGGAGGCACTGAAGTGGTCTTTGAACGGGGGAGTGGTGTGATGGGCAGTGTGAATAGGTGCCTTACAAAGATCAATCAGACAGTGGCGAGCAGCATTGTCTCGGGGCAGATGGTTGGCCAGCGTGAGCTGCTGTGGCTCTAGGCCAGATATGACGTGATGGGGTCTGCAGTGGAACGAGAGGAGGGACAATGCCGGACGTTTCCCCATTCACGTGGTGCTGCAGACAGGGGACAGGGAGTTCGCGAAACATGGCCAGGTAGAACAGCAAGGTAGACAGAGGTCAGTGCGGCGTCTGATACTTTTGGTTTCCTGAGTTTGGGATAAGAGGCCTTGATATGTACAGTGGAAACCCTGCCATAAAGCTATAGGTGGATCTAAAATGTGCGGTCTCATTACTGCAAAGTTCTAAAATGACCAGAGTAAGCCCCTGCTGCCAGCAAGCTGTGCGCTCCGGGAGTCTGGGAGCCAACTGCCCATCACACTATATCAGAATGTATGCTGTTGTGAGGCAGTTTGTCACGGGGTTTTACTGTGTCCCATGAGAGACCTTTCCTGCGTCTATCCTCATTCCTTCCAAAGCTGGCAGGAAGCTGAGGGTGGTTAAGCAGAGGCCCCTTCAGGCCCCCTCCTCTGTCCAGAATCCAGGGGCTTGTCTCCAGCACCCTCCTTTCACTCAGGCAAACCTCAGCCCCATGGGGCACGACCAGGACCCTGGCCTGGCCAGAGAGACTGGTGCTCACAGGAGGACGAGCAGAGCGAGTGAATGGCTGACTGGCTCTACAAAGCAGGTGTTTTATGCATGGAGAACTGCCCCCTTCCTCCTTCCAGCACGCCTTTCATGCTGCCCTGGAGGGAGGGGCCCCTTATTGCCAGCTTATCCCAACCTCCCTCCCTGGCAGGGGGTCTGGGCCCCGTTCCACTACCATCTTAAGTAATGGCCACTTGCTCCCAAGCTCCACCCTGGACAGCTCCCATTGTGACACCCTTGCTACGCAGTGCTGGAATCCGCCTGCGTGCACATTTCCCCATCCATCTCTGTTCTGCTTTAGAGCCCATGAAATGAACCTGTTGCCTTTTGTAATGGCTGCTTGAGACACTGCAGTAAAAAAGACATGACGATATATTATTGGTCTGATGGCTGCTTTTATGAAAGGAACTCTAAACTGCCACCCACTCCTATAGTCAGAGACACTTTCACTCTCCTGTGCTTGGAGCTTTAATTTTCTTAAGAACATTCTCTGCTCTGGAAGCTCTGGAGTGGCCTTTGGCCAAAAGCAGCAAATGTGGAGAAGAAAAGAGCTCAGGCGCTGGTGCCAGGGGGGTCTCGCAGGTCCCCTCAGGCGGCCAGGACTGGGGCAGGGCAGGGCAGGCGTGTCCATGGAGAATCTGGTCTCCTCTTTCTTCTCCGGGAGAATTGTGAGCAGGAGAGGCTGAGGGCAAGGGATCCTGAGTGAGGGGCTGGGGCCAGCATCTACTCTGTGTTTTTCTTCACTCTTTTCTTATCCTGTCATGGATTGGAAAGACAAGGCACTTCATCTCTTGGCTTGAGAACCCTGACAAAAGTGGCCCTGGAACAGTTCTAATGCTGTTCATTGCAATCACCTGAGGAGTGTTTCAAAGACTCTGGTGCCTGGGCTTACTCCAGTCCAGAAGGCCCGGAAATAGGAGGAATTTTTGTTTCGTTTGCTTAAGCCTTTTAAAAGATCCCCAGGAGATTCTAATTTGTTGTCAAGACTGGGAACAACTGTTCTAGAACTGGTTAGGCCCTAGATGAAAGAAGTAGCATGAGGCAAATTGCATTCCTCCAGAATCTTCTGTTTTTATCTTGTGTAGATCAATTCAAATTATCTGCTCTCATCCATTCTCCCTACTGGCAGACATTTGTTTTTGATGGATAGAATCGTATATATGTATGTATTATTATTATTATTAATCACTCATCATGGCTAGTTTTTTTTTAAGCTATTTAATCTATGTTGCTTATAAAGTGCCGTATCAATGCTTCTAGAGTTTGATGCCCATTTCTGAGAACTGAGGGAAATACACTCAGGAGTGGGCTTTACTGAGTTCTGATTGGCTGAATCTGCTAGCAGCAAATTTGACCCAAATGTCAGCCAGTAAGCAGAACCTCAAAACCACAGGATGCTGAGACTACTTTTGCGCATGTATTGTATTCAGTCCTATGATGTCTAGTTTGATGTATTTGCTGGCGAAACACAGCTAAATCAAACCATTGATCCCAAATGAAAATACGAGCACCCGTATGTTGTATAATTCACACAAATTGTCCTTGAGAGAATAAAATGGAAACATAGTCTTGAGAAACAGAAGAGTGTTCTGGATTCCCAGGTGGGCCAGGGTATGTTTACTGGGGTCCAGCGAGGCTGTCACTCACTGAAACCCCACGCATCACCTCCTTTATCGGAGGTCATGAGCGGGGGCTACTCTTCACTGCGGTGCGCAGGCTTCTCATTGCGGTGGCTTCTCTTATTGCGGAGCACGGGCTGTACGCATGCAGGCTTCAGTAGTTGTGGCACATGGGCTCAGTAGTTGTGGCTCACGGGCTCTAGAGTGCAGGCTCAGTAGTTGTAGCGCACGGGCTTAGTTGCTCCACAGCATGTGGGATCTTCCCGGACCAGGGCTCGAACCCGCGTCCCCTGCATTGGCAGGCAGACTCTCAACCACTGAGCCACCAGGGAAGCCCCACCCTCTTCTTTATAAGGTCTCTGTATAACCTCTTTTCTCTTTGGTCTATTGAACTCACTGAAAATAAAGAACTCACCTGACAGGTGACTTTGCCTGAAGTTTCAAGAGAAAAGAAAGATTCTATCCTGAAGACACCAAAAGGGGCAGCCCCTTGACTCCTTTGTGTATCCCTTTAGCCCTGGGCAGCCTTAGCCCCTTTGGCCAAAGGAAAATCCCTCTGCAGACTCATGTCATCGCATGGGCTCCCCCACCCTCTTTGTCATCCAGCACCTCCTTAACCCCAAACTTCTTCTGCTTTCTAACCTCCAATTACTGCCTCACTCTCACTCTCAGTGCTCTCCTAGACCCTCTGCAGCAGGCCCACTGCTGTAGAGCAGCCAGACCTGGCCAGAGAGGGTGGAAATTGGCGAAAGGAGGCAGAAGGGACCCAGCGAATCCCCTGAGGTTGGCAGTGGGCTCTCTGGGTATTGGAGGGAACTTCCTTCAGGCTCCAGAATCTGATATTCTGTTTACTTAGCAATGGACAGCAAATCCTGATTCCACAATTCCCATATTGTTTTTCCCCTCCTTGGAGTCTTACCAGTAGAGATTTAACTCTTGTTGTTGTTAAAAACTGTAGAGGATACAATGACTAAGTCAGAAGTAAAAAGGGAAGAGAGGAGCCTAGGTTATGAGAAGTGGGGGCTTTGGGACATGCATCAGCGTGTGAACCGTTACCTCTCCGGGCTCATTTGAGATAGACCTGCCTAGGAATAATGGGGACCTGGGATGTGACCCCTGGCTCATGCCAGCCTGAGCTCATTCTTATGATGCCAGTGCATTGGACTCTGGGCCCTGCCACTGAGCAGCACAAACGTGTGGATGCCCAGGTGACCCTGGACTATGCCCAGGTGTCCCCTGACCCTGCACCTGTGTTTTGAGGCACGGGCTCACGTTCTCTCAGTGTGTGAAGTAAGACACAGCCTCCAGCTGGGAAGCAGGTGCATGAGGGGAAGAGTGTGGTGGGGAGGTCTAGGTTCTCGCCTCAGCTCTGCCACGTACAGTTTGCGTGATCCTGGGGAAACGCCTGTTCCCTTCTCTGTGACTGTTTCTTCCGTTGTACAATGAAAAGGTTGTTTTATGGATCCCAGTGGTTCTCAGTCTGGCTCCCATTAGAATCACCCTCAAGCATTTTTGTTTTTTGCGGTACACGGGCCTCTCACTGCTGTGGCCTCTCCTGTTGCGGAGCACAGGCTCCAGACGCGCAGGCTCAGCGGCCATGGCTCACGGGCCCAGCCGCTCTGCGGCATGTGGGATCTTCCCGGGCCGGGGCACGAACCCGCGTCCCCTGCATCGGCAGGCAGACTCTCAGCCACTGCGCCACCAGGGAAGCCCCCCCCCCTCAAGCTTTTAAATCCCCAGCCCACCCACCCAGAAATTCTTGTCTGGGGTGGGCCCATGTATCAGTATTTTTAAAAAAGATCCTTTAGGGACTTCCCTGGTGGTCCAGTGGTTAAGACTGCACTCCCAGTGCAGAGGGCCTGGGTTCGATCCCTGGACAGGGAACTAGATCCCACATGCCTCAACTAAGAGCCCGCATTCCGCAACAGATCTCTCACGCCGCAACTAAGACCCGGCGCAGCCAAATAAATAAATACCTACTATTTTTTTTTAATGAAGGAAATTTTTTTTAAAAAGCTCCTTTAGTGATTCTAACGTGCAGCCAGGGTTGAGAACCACTGGGCCAGATCATCTGTAAGGGCCTTTCCATCACTATAATCACAGTGTCTAGCAGGGAGGAACTACCTCTTTGGATTTCTGTTCACCACATCTTCACCTGTGGCCCTAGATGAGGACTGTGGGGCACCCAGACTCAGGGGAGGCAGTAATCTCTTGGCTAAGTGTGTGGGTTCTGGAGCACCATAGTGTGAGTCCATGGTCGGCTCTGGGTTTCCTCCATGTAACATGAAGATAATAACAGTACCTTCTGCATTGAGTTGTTGTATTGAGTTAATTCATGCTTCTAAAGTGCTTAAAACGTTGCCTGGCACACAGTAAGTACTCAGTGAACTTCGTTATTATTGTGGAGGACAACTGAATGAAAGAAGTGCCCAGAGGAGAGTGTCCAGGTGTATTCTTGGGATGCAGGTGATGGTGGGAGTCCAGTGGGCTTGAGTCTCTGGACCTCTGTCTGGCAGGGCATGCCTGGGGGCACGGGACCCGTACTGCGGCTGGGACGGGAAGCAGCAACGTTGCAGCACGCTTGAGGACAGCTCCAACATGAGCCTCTGGACCCAGAACATCACAGCATGTCCTGTGAGAACCCTTTTGTACCCCCCACCAGGGACCTCTTCCCCCGAATTCAGGCCCTGACTCTCCATCAGTGTCCCCACAGCCCTGGGACCTTGTACCTTCCCTGCCCCTGCCTTGTGTGACAGGGTCCTGCTCCTGGTGTGTGTCTTCAGGTGCGAAATGTGACTCGGGATGGGGGCTTCGGCCCATGGTCACCATGGCAACCGTGTGAGCACTTAGATGGGGACAACTCAGGTTCTTGCCTGTGTCGGGCCCGGGCCTGTGACTCCCCCCGACCCCGCTGTGGGGGCTGTGACTGCCTGGGGCCAGCCATCCACGTTGCCAACTGCTCCAGGTATGTGAAGACGCAGGGCTTGCTGGCGGTGGCCTTGGAATGGGGGAGGGGGGATGGAGGGAACGGGGCATCCCCAGCCAGCTGTTTGCACTAAGGGACAGAAAACACTTCAGGGCTGTGCGGGGCACTGGACAGGTGGCTGATGTCTGAGGCAGGAAACATGAGCCCTGGAGAGTTTCCACTCCAGTGGGAGAGAACTTTCTGCCTTGCGGTGCTCTTCATACAAAGAGGCGTGGGGGTTATCCCTAGCGAGATCATATCCTCAATAAGCCTTGCAGTCCCAAACAGGATAGCATGGGATGGTTGTAGCTACCTAACCACTCTGAGCTTCTCTAAATGAGGGTTACAGTGCCCACCCTGAAGGTTGTTGGGAGGGTTAAATGAGATCATATTATATATATATTTAGAGAGAGAGAGAAAGAGAGAGAGAGCTTGCACACTGCCTACTACCTGAGGACTCCCTAAAGTGATTAAAATAAATAACCCATAATTCTTGACACTCTTAAAATAATTTTATATACACTACATTTATTAATTTAACCATCACAACCTCATGGTGTAGGAATACAATCATTATCCTTACTTTAAAGATAAGAGTATGATGAGGCACAGGTGGTTTTGGTAATTTGCCCAGCCTTAAACAGCCAGTAATTGGTAGTGCCAAAATTTGAAAATTAGGGGCAAAGGAGACAAGAGTGGGTGGTGTCTTGAGGTTGGAGCAAAGCATGTGCAGTAGTAGAACGGGGGAGAGAGCATGGGTTTGAATACCAGGGTCTGCCAACCACCGAGGCTGAAACAAAGGTTGCAGATGGCAAAGGCCTTCTCTAGAGAATATGTCCTTTTCCCCTGCGAGTAGAGGCCATGTGGGTATATCTTTGTGCTCTAACCCTAAGCACAGCCTGATATATGGAAGAAGGCTCTCAATGCATGTTTGAGGAGTGAACAAATGAATGAATAAGTCATTCCTGAGAAGGCCTGGTTAGGAACTATCTCCTGTCAATCGCACTTCCTGACAACAATACAAAATCCATCTGTGCAGATGTGATTAGATCTGAGAAGCTAGAGCTCAGAGGGTCATTTGTCTCTATCCCCTCCGGCCCCACCAGGAACGGGGCGTGGACACCGTGGTCATCGTGGGCCCTATGCAGCACCTCCTGTGGGATTGGATTCCAGGTCCGCCAGCGAAGTTGCAGCAACCCTGCTCCACGCCACGGGGGCCGCATCTGCGTGGGCAAGAGCCGGGAGGAACGGTGAGCTAGGGCGTGGCTATTGGTTTCTGCGACAAGCCAGCCCCGAGGTCGCCGACTACCCGGGCCCCCTAGAAGGTGGCCTGGATTCTCCAGGTGGTCCAGTGGACCCTCGTTTTCCCAGTCTCGCAATCTCAGTGACCTCTCATAGGGAAAGGGGTGCCTGTTCCCTAGAGTAACGACTCCTCCCCCTCTCCCCGTCAGGTTCTGTAACGAAAACACGCCTTGCCCGGTGCCCATCTTCTGGGCATCCTGGGGCTCCTGGAGCAAGTGCAGCAGCCACTGTGGGAGCGGTGTGCAATCGCGGCGTCGGGCCTGTGAGAACGGCAACTCCTGCCCGGGCTGCGGCGTGGTGAGGGCCGGGCCGGGGGCGGGCGCGGGATGCCTGGACCTCGAGCCAAGGGGAGTGCAGAGAAGGGGCGGGGGGCGGAGCGCGGGACAGGCCTGGGGCTGCGAGGCTGTGCAACAGCACCAGTCCTCCTCCCGAAGGAGTTCAAGACTTGCAACCATGAAGGCTGCCCCGAAGTGCGGCGCAACACGCCGTGGACGCCCTGGCTACCGGTGAACGTGACCCAGGGCGGGGCGCGGCAGGAGCAGCGCTTCCGCTTCACGTGCCGCGCGCCGCTGGCCGACCCCCACGGGCTGCAGTTTGGCCGGAGGAGGACGGAGACCCGAATCTGCCCCGCGGACGGCTCTGGAGCCTGCGACACAGACGGTACAGCCCTGCGTCTCCCCACCCGCCACCCTCCCTCCCAGGCCCAGAGCGATGGGGCGGGGCCGGGAGTGAGAGCTGGGGGAGGAGGGGGCAGGGAGGGGATGTGCGGTTTGGAAGAAGGCGGGAGGTCTTTGGGCTGCCGTGGGAGCCCTCTGTGGCTGAGGCCAGCCCCCCTGTATCCCCCCAGCCTTGGTGGAGGAGCTCCTGCGCAGCGGGGGCACCTCCCCGCACACGGTGAGCGGGGGCTGGGCCGCCTGGGGCCCGTGGACCTCCTGCTCCCGAGACTGTGAGCTGGGCTTCCGCGTCCGCAAGAGAACATGCACAAACCCGGAGCCCCGCAACGGGGGCCTGCCGTGCGTGGGTGACGCTGCAGAGTACCAGGACTGCAACCCCCAAGCTTGTCCAGGTAACCCTCCACTAAGGAATCTTGGCCCAGGGAACCCCTCGCCCAGGGAACCCCCATCGGGGAGACTCCGAGGCCTCCCCAGGCTACAACTAACTCCTGCTTGGAGACCTCTCCTCCCTGCCAACTCTGTACAGGGCCCCCAGAGCAATTTTCTACCCTGAACATGGACACGGCAGCTACTCGCAGGGACCAGGGCATTTCCTCACCCTCCGAGTTGCTGTTTTCTCTCCTTTAATGGGTTAGCTAGACAAGGAGCTTGATTTGAGGCGAGGTTGGTTTTTGGTGTCCCCTCTGCAGCCTGCATTTCTCCTGCCACCCCTGAGGGGAGGGGGACTCCCTAACAGTGGACCGTAGGGCTGGGGCAGGGCGGATGTTGAGGGCAGTGTGGCCCTGAGAGGCCTAGCCTGGGTTGGGCCATGCCTGCACCTGCAGCCCCTCTTCACCCACCCCATCGCCTTGCAGTGCGGGGTGCCTGGTCCTGCTGGACCTCTTGGTCCCCATGCTCAGCCTCCTGCGGTGGCGGCCACTATCAACGCACCCGTTCCTGCAGCAGCCCTGCCCCCTCTCCGGGCGAGGACATCTGTCTCGGGCTGCACACGGAGGAGGCGCTGTGTGCCACACAGGCCTGCCCAGGTACGAAGTGCATCTGGCAGGGCCTGGGGAGCAATGCGGAGCCTGCGCATCCCCACTAAGGGGGTCTGGGTGGTTAACCTCATCCCAACCCACAACACACAGAAGGCTGGTCGCCATGGTCTGAGTGGAGTGCGTGCACGGAGGATGGAGTCCAAAGCCGTGGCCGGTACTGCGAGGAGCTGGTCCCCGGGCCCAGCACTTGTGCTGGAAACAGCAGCCAGAGCCGCCCCTGCCCCTCCAGGGAGATGCCCGGTAGGTCTTGGAGCCAGCACCTTCACACCAACCCTTCCTGCCCTGAGCCCCAGCTTCCTTCCCCTTCTGAAGCATCCTGCGGGGTGCCAGCACCTTCACACCAACCCTTCCTGCCCTGAGCCCCAGCTTCCTTCCCCTTCGGAAGCATCCTGCGGGGGGCAGGATGAAATACCGGGGCGGGAGGTTCACACACTTTGGGCCTTTGCACGTCCTCATTTGACGGATGGGCCTACCTTTCTTAGAGGTGGGGCCTGGGGGGAGACCAAGGGAAATGAAGGTCCCCAGGTGCAGTCCCACAGGTCGGCGCTGACCCAGGGGCCCTCCGAGACACACACCAACACACACCGCCCTGGAGGGACTCACGTCCTCTCCTCCCTGCCTCTTATACCCACTCTGCTTGTCTTCCTGCAGTGATCCTGCCTGCCTCCAGTGTGGATGAGGCCACTGGCTGTGGAGGTAAAAGGAACCTGCCCCACCTCATGATGATCCACGCCCCCCCCTCCCCAAGGAGGAGACCCACCTACTCTGAAACCTGGAGTCTCTCCACTTCTCGCTCCAGACCCACAAACCTTGTTGAGGTCCCGCACTGCTTTAGACCACGTGTAGGAGAGTCTGGGCAATTCCATCCATGCCCCTCAGCTAAGAAGTGGTGGTCAAGTCTGTATTCAAGAAGAGTCACCCAACTCCACACCACTGGCTGCCTCCTCCGACCCAAGCCACAGGTGGTCCTGTGAGACAGGCCCCTGGTGACAGGCCACGCAGCCTTCCTGTTTCTGATGACTCTGGCTTCAAAGCCCTTCCCTTTATGTCTCAGAGCCTCCTATTGGGGGGCAGTTGGGGGTCTTCACAGTGGCCCTTTTCTTACCTCTTGTCTCTTCCCTCTCCCAGAGTTCAGTCTCCTCCACCTGGTGGCCACAGGCATCTCCTGCTTCGTGGGCTCTGGGCTGCTGACCTTGGCGGTGTACCTGTACTGCCAGCACTGCCGGCACCAGTCCCAGGAGTCCACGCTCGTCCATCCCGCCACCCCCAACCACCTGCATTACAAGGGCGGGGGTGCCCCCAAGAATGAGAAGTACACACCCATGGAATTCAAGGTGGGAGTCCTCTCGGAGAAGCAGAGGGCAGGGTGAAGGGTGCAGTGGTCCTGGCCCTACGCTGGACATAACTAGGCTGGGCACTCGGGAGAGAGCAGTGGCATGGTGGGCAGAACACTGTGTCAGCAGCCAGACGTTCTCTCATTGACTGGCTCCTGATTTCCTTGCTCTGGCCTGTCCTCTTTCCCCGTCTCTCCCTTCACCCCTTCCTCTCTTGTTCTTTCCTTCTCCCACAGACCCTGAATAAGAATAACCTGATCCCCGATGACAGAGCCAACTTCTACCCATTGCAGCAGACCAATGTGTACACGACCACCTACTACCCGAGTCCACTGAACAAACACAGCTTCCGGCCCGAGGCCTCACCTGGACAACGGTGCTTCCCCAACAGCTGATACCACTGTCCTGGGGACTTGGGCTCCTTGCCTTCCTAAGGCACAGAGCAGGTGGAGGTGGGACGGTGGAGCCAGTTTGGTTTTCTCCCTCTGCACTAGGCCAAGAACTTGCTGCCTTGCCTTGTGGGGTCCCATCTGGCTTCAAAGAGCTCTGGCTGGCGGTGACCATGGGGGAGAGGGCTGGCTTCAGGCTGGCACACGGCTGCAGTTCCAGCTCAGCCCGGGTCTCTCATGGCCTCCTTGGAACCCACCGTCATGCTGATCTCCCCTGCCATGTCTGGGCTGTGGACCTACTAGGCGTGTGAGGGAATTGGAGAGTGGAGATGGCAGGAGGGCAGGCTTTTAGGTTTGGGTTGGAAATGACAGCCCGTGTAGCTATCAGGGGCTGAGTCTGCCCCTCTTTGGCTGGCCCCAGGAAGGGCCTGGGCTACATCCTGATTATCTCTGAAAGAAACTAGTCAAATGACCCCAGTAGTTCTGGATTCTCTGCCCAGGGCTGGGTCATTGTGGTGCTGCCCCAGTGTGACATGGGGACCAAGGCTGGAGCAGGTTGTCCACGTTTGCCTAGCAGTCTGTGCTTTACCCAGCGACATCCCTCTGGTCAGAGGCAGTGAGGACTGGGGGCTGGAGACTGAACTGTGCTGAGAAGTCCTTTAATCTGGGCTGGCACATTCCTCGGCCTTTCAATCAGAGTGCACGAAAGGTGACCCAGGAGGAAGGGAGGTGGGAGGCCAGTGGAGATGGCTTTCCAGTTGCTGCTCAACAGAGCTGTTGGCTGAGACCTGCGTGGGAGTCTCTGCTGGGCCCTCATCTGTTCAGGAACGCACACATGTACACACACAATCACAATCTGCCGCAGCAACAAAAAGGATGTTGGGCTGTGGCATTATTAAAGATGATATCCAGTCTCCAAATGTAACGTCGTCTTCGTGCATATGTGTGTGGGCTCCTCTTGGCCCGGTCTGGTCAATTAGAGCAATGCACTGGGGTGACAGATGGTCTTCTCAGGGTGGGGGAGATGACCCCAGTAGAGTTTGACTTTAATAGAGGATAACTTTCCATTTGTGAGTAAATCTCCACATACACACGTTGCCCTAAACCCTTGTTGGAAAAGAGGGATGATCACAGATTCACAAGTAGGGACACAAGTACACCAAAGGCAATACAACAGGAGATTTCTGCCCATTGCCTTAGCAGCTCTAATCGGCAACACTTCCACAGTGGAAATGTGTGAGTCCAGCAGGGGAGTATTGATGAAGATTATTTTATGAGGTGCTTACATTGCTGAGTTTAATAAAACCAGAACTGACTGAGAAATGAGTAAATCTGTGAGGTGGGGGAAGCCCTCTGTAGTTTTGGCTGGATTAAATCAAAATAGCCTCAAAGCCTCAGCCCACCACATCCGTGCCACCATTTTGGATGAGATTGATGGACATGTTAAGTTTAGAGAGGAATTTCCTGACTTAATTGGCTGGATCAATTACAGGATTTGCAGCAAAATCTATTCGTAGGTCAGGCTGTAAAGTGTGATATCCCGGTGGTAGAGGAAGTAGAGGATCTTGGGGAGGGGAGGAGGAGGAAGAAAGGAGCACTCCTGGACCTCGTGTCTTGGACTCCCTTGTGCTTACTGGCTCAACTGCAATAGCCGTGTCCTCAGGCCAAGGTGGAGCCCAGTCAGTGAGAGCTCAGGGGACATAATGAGTATTTCTGCAGTTTGGGGATTCCTCACTGAGTTTCTATTCACCCCATGAATCCAGAGCCTGTAGGGGCCTGTGTTAGATCTTGGGGTTTTGGATTCCCTTGAACCTGGTAGAGCCAATGAAGTTCAAGAGTGTTCTAGGGCCCAGGGTGCCTGCTTCACAGGGGCCACTCATATATGTCAGGCACTGGTCAGGTCTGTAGCAAGCAGTCATGAAGAATTCCCGGGTCATGCCCAGCCACTTTTGACTGGAATGGCATCAGTGGAGTGGAAACCCATGTGTGTCATGGCAAAATACACACCGCGTGTGTGTGCATGCACGCACCATCTGTTACATAAAAGTATCAGTCCTTCACATGAATTAATCATAATTTATTTAAACCACTCTGATTTGTTTCAAATTTTTCTTTACCAAAGAATGCTATTATGGACCTTCTTCTCCGTATCTCTATGTCCTTAGGATAAATTCCCAGAAGCGATTGCCCTTAACCTCTGTGGCCAAATCTCTTGCTGATGGGAGTACACAGCCACCAGCAGCATGTTCTCATTGCATTATTTCTAATGCTAGTAGCTAACTCTGATAAGTGCTGTCACCTCCAAGCACCATACCAAGTGCTGGTCATTTCTCTTATTCAGTTCTCACAACAATCCTGAGAGGAAAGTACTATTGCCATGCCCACTTTACAGATGAGGAAACTGAGGTTTAATAAATTTAAATAACTTGCCTACAGTCACACAGCTAGTCAGTGACGGTTCAACCCAGGCAGTCCAACTGCTTGTTATCAGCTTGATAATTTTTTAAAGCGTAATTGTTTAAGTTTTTAAAATATTTACTGAGTGACCATTTCCCTCCATTTACATATTGGCCATTTGCATTTCTTATTTTTAAGAAGGATATTTTGTACCTTTTCTCTTAGGTGGTCATCTTTTCCCTATTGCTTTGTAGAAGATATTAACCTTTGGTTAAAAGATATTAACCTTTGGTAAAAAAAAAAAAAAGATTTAAATATTTCCTTAATTGATCCTATGCCTGTTTTGATACATAGATATTTGAATTTTTCACATAGAACTACTGTTTTTTTGTGTTTTTTTTTTTTAAAGGAAACTATACGGATTTTGCTTGAATGAAACTGAAGTAATGAGTTTTCTCACTGTCACCACCATGAATCTCAGGGATGCAGGCTTTAGGGGACACAGTTCTCTCCTTCTGCATATGCTGCATAGTGTCGGTTACTCTAAACAAAGACAGGATCCAGGCTGGGGATCTATTGGTTTGGGACTTGACTTAGGGGAGCATACAGCCTTATGCACTCCAGAGGAAGGGGTGCTTTAGAGGGAGAAAAAGAACAGAGTGTGTGTTGAGAGGTTCATTTCTCTGGGAGGAGGAAGTAGAGCTGGGTACCCTCTACCTGTCAGGGCAGGTGAGATTTAGACAAGAAACAAAAACTGGGCTCCTCTCTCTGGTGGCAGACACTGGCCATGTGGTGGACAGTCATTGGGACCCAGAGTACAGGGTCCTTGTCTCACAGCCCAGTCCTTGAGCAGGTCAAATATGACCCTCAAGCATCGATGGCTAGGAGCCCATTAACAATGAAAGAGATCATCTCCCCACGTGGTCAGGCAGGTGGCCTTGACGGGAGGCAGTACACCTGGGTGAGGATCTGGGCTTCCCCGACTAGAGGCTGGATTCCAAGTCCTGGTTCCAAAGTCACACGGCACAATTCAAGCCTCTATATTCAAAGTTAAATTTGAGTTTGATTTAGCGCCTATCGTCTGGAGAGAGAGGATATTGACCAAACTTGCGTTGACAGCTGGACAAGCAATCCTCCTCCAGCAGCCATTCTTCCTATTCATTGTGTGGGAGGATGGCTCAGTCTCTAGCTTTGCTGCTCACCAGCTGTGTGACCTCAGCAAATCTCTTCCCTCTCTGGATTTCAGTTTTCTGGCCTATGTCATGTCAGGGTTGGGCCCAGAGTCTCTACCAACTTCTGTGATTCCTAGAGCTTTGGGAAAAATTCTTGTACGTGGTGCTTTTTCCTCTTTGGTGCTAGCCAAGTGCTCCAGTGTCACTCTGGCCCTGTCTCTGCCACCTTTAACTTGTCTCAGAGTCGGCTGTGCTACTCAGGGCTGGGTCATCTTCAGGGGAAACCAGGCACCCTGAACCCGCTGTCCTCACACAGGAACCTGGGGAAATGTCTTCCTCAGAGTCTCCCATTTTTGATTCCTGGGCCCCAAGTTCCCCTTCATTGAGGCGGATAGAGGTGGACAGTGGATACACATGCATATGATGTGTATTTGTGTGTCACTGAAGTTTGGCTTTGACCTTGCTATTCAGCCCAAAATCTGTGAATTGGCCTTCAGCCTCTGCTTTTGGAAGTTCAACTGTAACGGGTGGAGTGCACGCACATTAGGGTGAGACCTTAGCGCAGTAGTTAGAGGTCAGGCTCCGCCAGCAGTCAGCCTCGCAGGGCTCTCCTGGCAGAGTGCGGTGAGAGGCGGATCCCGGCCTTCTACCTGGGGCCCTCCGTGTCCCCTGGCCTCGGGGCCGGTGGGTGAGCTGGGGGGCCCGGGGACAGGCTGAGGGCTGTGTCCCGCAGAGCTCCAGAGCCCTCGCCACGGCCGACCACTGGCCGGGCCCAGGACCCAGCTCTGCGACCTGATAACGGTGACAGTCTCCATGGGTCGCAGTCCATGGAGGCCTCAGCAACTGGAGTATATGGACACTGCCATTAAGGTAACAGCTTCAACCAGCTTCAGTCTTTCTGTTCAAGTTTCAAAAATTGATACGCTGAGACCGGTTGTCTACCCCTAGGAGGCGGCCAGAGGTCAGGGTTAGGCTGCAAGGACGTCACCCTTCGTTTCTTCAGGTCCGTCTCTGTGGTGGGCTGTTCTCAAAGAAGGGCGACGGTGAGCTGTGAATTCGCCTGGTTGGTATTCGCCACAACATGTACTCCTTCACAAATGATTTTGTGTAGGATCACAAATGATCCTACACAAATGATTCTCTCCAGTGTAAATGAAAAGCCTGAGGGCCGGCTGGGTCCTGGGTGCCCGGCGTCCTCAGTGGTGATGGCTGGGCAGGGTCTGGGGACCTGGCCTTGAGGGCGCCACAAGCTGAGATCTGCCTGGTGGGCCGGGCCTGGGCACTGGTGGGAGGACCCAGCCTGGGTGCTGGATGAATGCTCCCGGGCAGGGTAGCCGGCCCCCGCAGGGACCCCGTCCTCTTAGCCAGGACCTGGACCTCGGAGGGTGAAGGTTGAAGGGACCTTGCCCTTTCTCGTCGGAACAGAGAAACAGAGAAATAACATTTGTTTTGGTGGAGGTTTACAGGAACATCGTGACCTGACCGTGACCTGACCTCAAGGACAAAGGATCTGACACCAAGAAGTTTGCAACAACTAAACCACTCCCCTCCCTCACCTTTCCTGTAAAAGGGCTTTGCTGAAAGCTTTCGTGGAGTTCTGGGTTTTTAAGGCATGAGTCACCCATCTCCTTGCATGGCCCTGCCATAAACCTTTGTCTGCTCCAAACTCCAACATTTTGGTGTTGTTTGCCCTCACTGTGCATCAGGCACACAGACTTCCTTCGGTAACATAAATAGCTGAATGTGTACTTCATCATTTAGAGCACCCTCGAGCTTGTACCTGAGCTACAGCCATGGTTACATAGGTTACCGGTATTTCAATCAGCTCATCAACTCTGGTGACATGCACAGGGCACGCTATTTAGATTTATTGTTAGTAGATAACACTCACTATAAATGTCTAGATGAATCTTGAAGTGAAAAATCTCTTTATGCTTCATATGTTAAAATTCAATTAGTCAGTTGAACTATATATATGCATATTTAGTACTGTAAGAGTAAAATGCCCCAATAATAAACAATGATTGTGAAAGCTGCTAATTTTATGTTCAAACACAATTAAACCCTTTAAAATAGCAGATAAATAGGGAACAAGACTCAGAGTTAAAAAGAATACTGAGAGAACGTTAGCTAGATAACTTTAGGAAAACATTACAGTCTTTGTGAACTAATAAATGTTAATTTAAGGGCTTCCCTGGTGGCGCAGTGGTTGGGAGTCCGCCTGCCGATGCAGGGGACATGGGTTCGTGCCCCGGTCCGGGAAGATCCCACATGCCGCGGAGCGGCTGGGCCCGTGAGCCATGGCCGCTGAGCCTGCACGTCCGGAGCCTGTGCTCCGCAACGGGAGAGGCCACAACAGTGAGAGGCCCGCGTACCGCAAAAAAAAAAAAAAAAGAGTTAATTTAAAATAATACAGGGCAGGGACTTCCCTGGTGGTCCAGTGGTTAAGAGGCCACCTTCCAATGCAGGGGACGCAGGTTCGAGCCCTGGTCGGGGAACTAAGGTCCCACGTGCTGTGGGGCAACTAAGCCTGAGCTCTGCAACTACTGAGCCTGAGAGCCACTGCAACTAGAGAAGCCCACGCACCGCAACAAAGAGCCCATGCGCCCCAAGGAAGACCCAGCACAGCCAAAAATTAAAAAAAAAAAAATACAGGGCAGAATAATAGAGATTTGATTAAGTCATAATTCCAATATTTTCCAATTGGCTTGGTGTCTATCATTCATTATGTTAAACAAAA